AGGAGTATCTGACAGAGAAGTTGACTAAGTGACCCTTTAGTACCAGTTCTAGGAACATATACATGTAGGTTTCAGATCTTGGGTTAGACAACTCTGAAAAACAAAGAAAATTTTACAAGTTCATTCCTACTTTTAAAAAGTGAGAATTTATTTCACTGAAACTGCCCGAGTACAAACTAGTCTTACTGTACACAGTACACTTTTAAAAATATGCTTTTACTGTATATCCAACATCCTCTGGTTCATTTGGAGACTCTGGCTCTTGCTAGTTATCAGGGTAGGCTGCAGGGCGGATGTAGCTGAAGTACACTCGAGACTCATATGTGGTTAAAAACATGAAACACTGACTTCCTCAGCATAACCAATGGTGATGGTACAGCGCTGATTCACAAATGACAAACACCTTTGTAACACCCAAGACTCGCACCCACTTCCATTACATTGCACGCAGACCCAGATTACATGCTGAGATGTTTTGTACAACACATTCTTAAGAAATGCACTAAATCAAAACCAGATAAGTTCAACCAGAATTGTCAGAACAGCTAAATGCAGTCACTCAATCACACCACTTAGTCTGATGGATTAGAGGGGAAAAAAACATTAGTCTAAATTGGTCCTCTAGCTTTGCATAGGTACCCTAAGCCCAAGTGGGAACCTAATTAAGAAAAGCCACCATTAAAGATCAACGTTTCAGCAGGCTATTAGTAAAACGTGCATGGCTAATCTTGGCCAATAAAAACAAACAAGTTATCACTAAAGTTGGACCAGACTGATCTGATGCATATAAGGCACACAAGCACATATTACCGCACTTCAGCGAGCAAAGCAACCCTTCTAATAACTCCCTTTTTTCAATATCATTTCCAATAAAACAGAAGCATGTCACCCTATGAAAACCATGACCCAAAGGTCAGATTATGCCTAAAGAATACCTGATTACTCCTAGTTATTTTAACAACTGGCCTTTGACAGATTTGATTCTGACAATGAGGCAACCAAGCACACATATCAGTACACTGGCCATTTAAAAACTACTATGAGAATAAATCTTCACAGAATGCCATCTCCATTGCTAAAGGAAAAAGGACAAAGTGCGAACAAGGAAGAACAGAGTTTCGTAAGAATCCAAAGTGAGTTACATACCATGATAGTTCCTCTATTTTGTTCTGCTTACTGTTTTCTCATTAATTCATAGTAGTGAAACTGACATTTGTTTTCCTATTGTGCGGCTATGCACAGGGCTTACATACTGGTTAACCTATTTTCACCTTACAGTAAATACATACACTTAAGTCACATTCATAGTTAGTCATGACATGGTCTACACCTACTTTAGAAATATGAAATGTCTTCCAGGCACATATTAAAATAATGTTTTGTCATGCATAAGAGCAGTAAAAATCATTATTTATAAAACTCACTATGGGTGCCATCTTATTTAAAACTGATTTGTTTTTGAGATTGACTGCACTAAATTTTACTTTCCCCATTAAGATGAAGGAATGCCACTGGGCCAAATGCAATACAATCCATAATCAATCTCCTCAAAAATCAACACATGGAGGAAGCTGCAGTATTCGGTGTAAATTAATAGATGTGTCTTAACAGAATAACAACATCTGTAACACCCTGTTACCTACAGTATAAGCTAAATACATTATGGCAACCACTAACTTATAATACTTTGTTCGAGTGCAATTTGAATCTCAAAATGATAGTGACTAGCTGAAACTTTAAAAGAGAGCAGCCATACACATCTTCAATTTGATTGATTTGCATAATCCACAATTACAGATTCAAACAGGTGCACAGCTTCTTGGTAGTTACTCAACTGGACCAGCCCAGTCTGTGAATGAGGATGAGGAAACTAACTTGTGAGCTATTTGATTGTGAAGCCAATATTTCCGATTTTAACTCCTACTGGATTCGTGACTATTATAACAACTTTGTGGCAGTTAGCTTGCAAATAGATTATTTGGTGCTGCAGGCAAGACAACCAACTCATTCTCATGAATGGTCTAATCATCAGCGTTGTGGCAAATGATACACGATAACCGCATTTAACGTTAGACCGTTGTTGATTAACGCCTCCAAGTGAAGATCAGAGAGTAAACAACTTATGATTCAGACCTGTTGGTCGCCCATCAATCAACATATCGATGGTACAATGTGGATTGATTGGCACTAGGAAGGTACTAACAGATAACGTTAGCATTATAGGCGTCTTAAGTAACTTAGGTTAGCTAACGTTAAACACTGAAGGGGCGACTGACTATTACTTTGTTCGCCGAGAAGGCGTTTAATGTGTTCAGTTTGCCGTTAAACCCTTTAAGTTGTTGCTGAGATTGTTATTACGTAACATTAGCTACGTTACCTGACTGCCTGGCGCCTGCACTGAGTATCATTACAGCTGAATGGGTTTGTGACGATGGACTACTAGCCTACTGTACCCCACCAGCGTTAACTTATTAGCTTACAGGGTAGCTCGGGTCTACAGAAAACCCATCCATTTTGAAAACGTTTAAATTTCTGACACTCAGAAAACACCCAGTTTGCTAAAACAGCTTAACTGACGGCCGTGTAGAGCTTCTCAATGAATGAAATCATTCACAACAAGCTAGAAGCGGCTGTTAGCATACTAGGCTAACTTGACGTTGAGCAGCAAGCAGCAGACCGACCAGATGAACTGGCTGTCTCTGCCTCCACACTGTCGACTGTTGGTAGTACACCGCGCCCCTCCGTCTTCCCCTCTCGCCGCTCGCCTGCTCTACCGACCCCTCTCCCCCCGTGAGAGACAGAAAACATCGGTTCACTAGTCACACTTACATATTTTACCCCGCAGGCTCTGTAAAATCCGAATCCTCGCGTCGTCCTCTTCCGCCATGGTCAGAGCTGACTGTTGTCGCTTCTCCGGTACATTCAGCGCTGGTTTATCATATCCGTTTATGAATGCGGGCAGAGCGGAGTTAATCCAGCCCCACTGCCGCGTCACGCCAGCCGTACACACGGCTGCCTTAAAACATTTGGAGACAGGCTATATTAAGCTTTCTCAGCTAGTTCAATCTGTTTGGACACGATAGGGATTTTGAAGGGGATTTTAAGTGTTAGTAGTGTTCATTATTTGGCAGCTTGTGGATAACACATAGCTACTCTGATTTATAGAACTAAAACATTAACTCAGCTATCTGATATTAATGTTTAATTTTCAGTTCATCTGCTAATCAGTTAATTGGTTCTTTGTCAACTGATTATGATATAATTCTGTCTGTGTCTACCTGGATTTGGGAGTTACTCAAGGGTTTGTTCTTGGGTCAAATTTATTTTCTATCATTGGGTTTTGTTAATTTTTTGTTTTAATGTGGCATCATTTTTTGCAGATGGCACCCATCTTTGAGTGAAACATGAAGATGTAAGCAGTTTATCAAACCTAAATGAGTGCTTGACATGTTGGATGTCTCAGAACCTTCTAAAATTAAATGAGGATAAAACACAAGTCTTTGGTATAGGTCCTATAGGCCTAACTATCTGTCTTTGTTGCAGCTTTTAGCAGGATTCTGCAAGGTTTTCCCAAATATAATATTTTATAATGTTTTTCATTTATAAACATAATTTATTCATCATAATATGCTTTATGATCTCATCTCCTTTGGATAAAAATGTGACAGGCATCCCATGTTTGCTTCCTCTTTTTAAGGTGATGTTGCTTTACTTGGCTGAAAACATAGGCCTGATCCACATCTTTGGTCATAGCAGGGAGCCTGACAAGGCAATCAGGTATATATTATAACTTTTATAACCAATTTATAGTCTAGTGCGATTCAGAGCATCTACAGGCAGTTGACAAATGAAAGGAAAAACCTGAAAAAAGAGTGGAGAAACATAACGAATGCAGATGTTTAAACACAAGTGCACTGTACAGTCAGGCTCTGTGGCATGTATAAAACCACTGAGCAGGCCCAGGTAGTTGGGTTACAATGCATAAACCCCTCATTACAAAATGAATGCACATTTGAGAGTTCAGTGTTCCAAAATCTACAGTGACCTGACATGGTCAGATGAGTCAGGCCTGAATGCTTGACCCCTACAGTGAGGGGATCACTTGGCCCTGTTATACTGTAGGGGGCATTTTGCTAGCATGGTTTCGGTCCAACTGTAGAGGGAAGGGTCCCTGCCAATCTATACAAAGCTGATCTGAGTGATAATCTTTATCCTATAATAAAGATTTCTATCCTGATGGTAGTGCTCTCCTATCCAATGCCCCCATCTATAGGGCAAAAGGGGTCAATGGATGGTTTGATGAAAATGAAAATGCTGTGGACTTCACAGTCACCAGATCTCACCCCAGTCAAACACCTGTGGATGATTTGGGATCAAAGTGTTATCTTTTGGAAGACTGGCGTTCATCCTTCCAATAGAGTTAAGAGAATGCCAAGGTGCACTGAAGCTGTTCTGGCAGCACCATAAGACACTTTATGTTGTTTTTGTTTTTGTTTAATTTGTCACTAGCATCACAAACATTGTATAAATTGTTGCGGTCAGTGTTTTAGAATGTAATCACCATAGTATGTAATCACCACTTATTTAATGACAGATTACATTAGGGAAAATGTTTCCTCCGTGACATAATCCATGTGGTGAGCAGTACCTTATACCTAAAACGTCCATCCGTTATATCTTTGTCTTAGAACGAAACAAGGAGTTTAGAAACACCTGGAAATTGTGCCTTGTGGCCCAGCTCTAAATATAGATGCAGTTTATGTGGAAGAATGAGGGAATTCGCTTCTCAGATGGTTTGCAGGTTCCTGAGGGACTAGAAGGAGCAGATAACCACCATGTGGCTTTATATTTAGGAAAGTATTTTCTGTGGTGCAGGTTTTCTTCCACTGTTTCAGTCTTTCTATTTACTGTAAAATTTGCTACTTAAATCTCCACACTTTAACTGCACTGCTATTCCCTGTGATCACTAAGTATGCTTCAGTCATTATGATGTGTTGATCAATGGTCACTTAATACTATGAACTGATAGTCAAGCATTTACAGTATCTCTAACTAAGCTAAAGGAGGACAGGATGTCACGGTTTAGAATAGCAATAACATTTATTTAAACATTTTTACATGTTTTATACATATTAAACACAATCTTAATGGTGCAATGTGGTAATTAGAGTTGTATAAATGGTGCTTAGAATTCAAATTGAATTATCAAAATATTTAACAGATTAGCATAGTCTAATTATAAAGTGCAACTCACCATGCCCAGTTAATTGTATGGGAGATTCAGAATTGTGACCCAAAATTTATTTAAAAAAGTGAAGATGTACCCACAATAGGCAGCAGTTCAGTTCCTCCCCGATCTGAAATTACACACTGTCTGAAGAAGGATTGCTGATATTCATTTCCTTTTTTAAGGTTACAGTCATGTCAATGAGTCTGCCTTATATGCATAGACAGTGGACAAAGTACAGTCTGTGTCAGATGGTCCTATATTATGCAAAACGTATCTTTTACTGAGGTGAAATATCACTCAGTTGCTGAGTTTAGGATGGTAGAAATGATAGCCTACACTGATATTACTTCTGGTTGTCCATTTACAACAGTGTTTAGTGTTGTCCATTCAACACATTTTAATGAGCTCAACAGCAAAGAAAACATTAAAAATCTTACATTCCCTAACCAAAGTAGTACCTCAAAGTCAGATTTAATTCACTTTCTCTTTTGCCTGTGATTGGTCAGGGCCTTCAGACATCTTTAAAAAATGGCTCCTCTTTGCACACCCACTTCTCTGGCATCTGTATGGAAATGTGGGTACCTTCAGTCTCAGAGTCATTTCTCATAAAAGTTTTACAGGACTTTTCATGATCGTTGTGACTATTTGTTCTTGGCACCATTACAACATCCTTGTTGCTCTCACTGTCTCTGTCATGGCCTGGTTTTTTTGAAAGGAGGTGCATAGAATGCTGCGAACAGATCCTTTTATGCCATTTTTACCTTTTGAGGTGTCAGATAAAACAATGGGTCCGTGCAGGGCAATAATGAACTTTTAATGTTGGACTATGACACATCCTGGTATGTAGTCAAAGTCAGTTGAATCCTCAATTTTAGGTTTAATTTTATCAATGGAGAAATGTCCTCCTTCCACCCTTTTATTTGTTATGTCAGTGCCCCCTTGATTGTCACTGTCTTCTGTTTTGATGTTGTTTTGTTGATTGTCTTCACTCAGATATTTAGAACATGGTGCAAAACTGTCATTATATCCCTCCTCATTTGCTTCCTGGTGTTTTTTCTCATGGCTTCTCTTGGTGGCAAGGTAGAGAAAACGTTGCGGACAGAAGGAGCAGCGATATTTTTTCTCTGGGTTGGGACTCCAAGGTGTTTTGTCAAAGCAGGAGCCATTTTCCATACAGCTGCTGCAGATGTAGTCACCACTGGCGGGTGCCTCACCAGGGGGACCCTGTTTACCACAGGTCCGACAGAAACACGGGTGAGAACCAATAACATGGGCTCTCAGACCAGTCTCAGTGATAAAAGAGCTGTCACAGATGTCACAGTTGTAGGTGACCCTCAGGTTGCAGTTCTTGCTGATGCTGCGTTTCACCTCTGCACCACCACCTGAAATGCCCTCCTCTGTCGGCCAACTCCTTCTGTCATGTTGTGCCTCACTGGCAGTGGCTCTGTCTAAAGATGTTTCAGAATAATGGTGAAACAAAGATTTTCTGTGCTTGAATCTCAGCTTCTTTCTTTTCTTTTTAGCTTTGTAAGAATAGTAGGGACGCCAGAGGTTATCAGCTGTGTCACAGTCATTTGAATCATCATATGCCTCAGGCTCTGTGGTGGCACTGACCCCTGGTCTGAGGCGGAGTCTGGGGCTCTCTGAGTTTTCCCTTGTTGGAGAGCATTGACTCTCCTGTTGCCGGCTCTCCTCCTTGCTCAGTTCTCTGATTCTCCTTTTCTTTCTGGGGAAGAGCTTGGATCCTTTGATTTTGCGGCGGATGATGGCTTCATTGCCTATTTTCACGGTTATCTGACAGAGTGGCATGGCATCACCATCTACAGATGGACCTGGGCAGGCAGGTTTGGCAATATATGTTTCTGTCTTTGCCCTCACCTTTTTATCATGTATCAGATTCTCTGCGCTTGACTGGAGAATCTCCTTCGTCATATCCTCAACTCTTTTTGCAGAAGCTGAAAGCTCACTTAACTTTTTAACAGTGCTCAAAGAGTTTAAGAACAGCACTTTATGACTCATGTGATCTGAGTTGATTAGTAGTGGTGGATCATCTTTGTAACCCACGGCAGGAGACATTGTATCAGGTTGCAAATATTTAATGAAGGAAGACTTTCTATTCTCAGCCTCTTTTGTTGTGTTGTTGTCTCTCTGAATTTCCAATTCACTGTTCAGACTTTGGCTAATATTTTGGTCACATGGCTTGTCAAAGCTAATACGAGGCATGACAGGAGCCATCATCTTTGTTGTTGCCATGAATGTCAGAGGAAATGAAACAGTGTCAGTGTGGCTCATCAGACCATTTTCTTCAAATGGAGGGATGAGAGTGTTGCTGTCTGGTAGGGCATGATCGCCTCTTTCAACACTATCGGAATATGTTTGACTGTAAGTCTTATATTGTCTCTTTCTAAACTTCATAGGCAGAAGCCTGTAGAGCTTGATTGGATACACACTGGCTTTCAGCCCACCATTGGCAGATTTTTTCTTAGCAGCCAGACTGGGATCAATGCCATGAAAAGACTTCTGATGGTTCTTTAGGATATAGTATGTCATAAATGTCTCCAAGCAGAAAATGCACTGATAACGCCGTTCACCTGTGTGCCAGATTTCATGCTTAGTACGATACTCTGCCAAAGCAAACACTTTATTACAGTAATGACAGGGATAAGCCCTCTGCCAGGAATGTACATTCTCATGCCGCTTCAGACTGGATAGCGTGACATAGACCCGTTTACATACACTGCAGTTGTATCTCCTCTGACTGCCACCTGGCCTCACTCTGTCCTCATTCTGTGGAGGCTCTGATTGGTCCACTTGCAGGGGCTCTGAGGTGTAAGGGATGGAGGGGTCAGCAGAAGGAAGCTGTGTCATGATGCTCTCCAAATTTGGCATGTCATCTGAATGGAAGTCCACATCTTTGGCTGATATGCCAGTAGCATCTAGTTTAGGGGGGCTTATTACAACTTTAGGACAGACCTGCTCATGGTTGCGCAGCCGTTTGAGGTGTATGAACTTTTTGTGACAAAATTTGCAAAACAAATGACTGACAAAACGCTTCTTATGTACCTCTGAATGAATGGTGAGAAGAGCTTTATTTGTGAATATCTCCGGACAGTGCTCGCATCCATAGATTGAGATACTGTCCCCATCTGAACATTATCAGAGGCCAATGGTAGCCCTGGGTCTATACTTTTTTCTGTTTCTGCCTCTGAAAACAATGGAGGTGGTGTCATGACTGCAGCAGGTGCTGCCGCAACAGCATCAGGTAATGTGGGGGTTATTGTATTTGATATATTTGTTTGTGGTTCAGCTGGTGTTGGAAGTATACTTTTACCCAAAATGCCTCTCAGTCTGTGGCGCTTTTTAAGTGGGCCAGTGTTCCTGTAAATGAGTTGCTTTTGCTGTGGTATTGCTGACTTACAGACCTTCTTGTTGTCCCACTGATTGCTCTCTTTGCCTTCAGTAGTCTTGCTGACTGCATATGAGTGCTCTGAAAGGGTGTGTGTGGTCTCATTGTTCCCATTGGGGCAAGATGTTGTAGGGCAGCTTGATGGGAGCTGCCCCACATCTGGTGACTGCCTTTCTCTGCTGGTTTGAACCAGAGGTGTGAAAGGATTGTTCCCGGGACACACTTCAGTGATAGAGAAGGCATTGGTGATGCGTGGCCCTCTGGCATTGTCTGTCTCCTCAGGCCTGGGAGCTTCCTTCTTTGCTTTTTTAGGCACTGGGGCTGTGCTGGAGTCTGTAGATTTAGCACATTCATCCTGACTCTCTTGATCTACAAGTTTCTCTAAAAAAGGAATTCCAAGTCTCTTCCCAGCTGCAGCTAGCCCCCCCATGCCCTCTGCCCCAGATAATGTCACCTTTGAGCAGTAGATGAAGTTTAGGATACTGGCAAAGACCTCAGACTTCAGGTCCATCAGCTCCAGCACTTGGCCTGAGCTCCATGTCTCCGGAGTTGTCAGAGCATTTCTGAAGTACCCACTGCAGGCTGCCAGGATGTTCTTGTGGGCCTGAAACTTAACATCCTCCACCACAATGGTGACATCACAGAAAAGACCTTGTGAGCGTTGCTCATTGAGTTTGCTCAGCACAGTGTGAGGGTGAGCACTATCCATGAGGTTTTGAGTGCATGGGGACACCACAGTCATCTAAAAAAATAAGAGGAGAAATAATTACATCAGATTGTTACATAAATTGAGGATCTGATTGTTCTGATATTGTTAAAAGAGCCAGAAGATGTGCGTACATTTTCAAATTGAAAATATTTTAACTCTTCCCATATTTGGACACTAGATGGCAGTAATATCCCGACAGATGGTCAACACATCTGGAGACTCAGGCCATCATGATACTAAGTTTGTGACAGACTAAAGGACCACATTAATCTATTGTAAAATGTAGACATTATAATGGAACTGGCTTGCACTACAACAATCATAAGTCCTGTATGTTCTTTTGTTTTCTTTTTTGGTATTTTTATATTTCTGTAGACAAGATCCTTTACTCCAGTGTGAATCTGAGTGAGGCATATTTTAAAAGCCTACTTCAGTATGGTATTACAGGGGCAGACCTCGCTGATGTAATAGTATAATAATAGTACATGTTCTGGTATTTCAGTTAAAAAAAGCTACAAACGTTTAGTGAGAAGTTGGGCTATGACTGTTTTGGTAGGCCGTTTATGTTTGAAGGTACTGTTACAAATCCCAGCTATCAGTAAATATGCGGATGGGAGAGTAGTGGTGTCATAATGCCTTTCAGCAAACAACTGAACTCCAAAATCCTACAGTTTAGCTGCTTATTGCCTTACACTAGGGAATGCCTAAAAAGTCTTATACGGTGAGCTAATGTATCAGGTGCACCGCACCTGGTAATATATGCTGTGACTCAGGCATAAATTTTTTTGTTATTATTATTTATACCACTTATCCTGAAGAGGGTGGGGTGTCTAGAGCCAATCTGGGATACACAGTTAGAGACAGACAACCACACTCACTCCTATGGGCAATGTAGAGTTGCCAGTCAACCTAAGCTGCATGTTTTTTGGACAGTGGGAGGAAGTGGGAGTACCCAGAGAGAACCCACACTGGCACATGCAGACTCTACACAGAGTGGGAACCGGGTTGGCTGAGGCTCGAACTCGGAACATTCTTGCTAAAAGGCGACAGCGCTAACCACTGCGTCACCATGCTACCCTTATTATTATTCAGTTTGGGTGGTAATCCACTTGGTGTGTTATGCCAGCTCTGCACTAGGTGTCATACAGTTGTCATGACTACACAACCTACATCGTTGCTTCCCAGGAAAAAACAAATAACTGAGTGACTACAGATTAAATATTTGACCATTTGCAAAGATCAAAGACATGGTTCACTTTAATGACATTGTTGCCTCACTGTCACCAAAATTTGAACTTTACTTTGCACAAGTGACACGCACACACACAATACTCACTACACACACTCTTTATTTTATTTTGTACATATGATTATTATTATTATTATTATTAATAGTAGTAGTAGTAGTAGTATTGTTCTGTTACACACTGTACTGTATTTTAGCTTTCTATATTCTATTTTTATTACTTTTATTGAAATTTTAGCTCTGCTGCTATAACACCTGGATTTCCCTTATTAGGGATCAATTCATCATCATTATTATTATTATTATCATTACATTTCTATTCTTCTCAAGGCATAGGTTAATGAAAATGGCCTGTAGACAGTTACGTGATGATGATTCATATGCTCCATTCTTCACTTGTCTACTTGTCTGTCATATGGCAGTAGAGGCATCTTTTATTTTGCTGTTTATTTTCAGCTGTTGTCGCCTCTAACTACAAGGAACAGTTAATTAATGTCTCATGAGGGAAATGGCAGCCTGGAAGGGCTACTGACTGATTGGATATAGATATAATGTAGCCCATTTATACAATAATCATTGCTGTGCAAAGTCAAAATGAGCATTTTTTTTTTACTTTTTCAAAGTTTCTAATATTGTAGTTAATGCTATGTTAAGACCACACATCTCAGTCTTTCAGCATACTTTTTTTTATATACGGTAGGCAAAACAGATGTCTGGTCAAACAGGGTTTGACATAATTTTTGTATATTGACAAAGCAGTATTTGTGGATTAGTTTGATAAATTACCTACCATCTACAACTCTTAGAGTAAGTTAAAATTCATTCATTCTGATTTTGAAAGAGGATGCATTACCCAGTATGGTGATCTGGCTGTAGCCTACTCATAGTCAGTGTGATATGAGTCTATACTGAGTCATTTAGCATGTAGCATGTTAGGTGAGGCGCACACTCAGCTTGCTCATGTAAGTGATGAATCATCTTACCTGAATCAGTACTATCTAAAATGTCCAACTTAGCCTTAGAGAGACGTTGCTACTTCCCATTGTTATTTTCATCTTCATTTATGATTGTAGTGATAGTGAAAGGCAAACAATGACTGTGCAATTTAGCATGCTTTGGCCTAATGCTACTCTGGAGACAGTGCTGCTATTTTTAATGTCTCACTGTTGTTCTTTGTTCTGCTTACTTAGAGGACAGCAGGGGATTTTTAATTTGTCATGATGGATATGAGACTTACTTTGCGAAAACTGTAGTGTACAGATGGCTGTTGAAGCAATTCTCTATTGGACTTATAGCCAAAGGCTTCAGACCAAAGAGTCTTAGCAGCACTGACACAAATATTTCTCATGCAAGACACATGATACAGAGAAAGTGTCTTTACCAAGTGTGACTTAACAACCATTCCTCCTGTTCTTATACCCTTGTTACTTTTAGCATCCTCTTCTGTGAAAGCTTGCATTGCCTCTAATTTTCAGAAATCTTCAGATGTAGCTACAGTCCATCCTTGCTTTTAATTGGCATGATCTATAATTCACTCAACTTGTGATTCTTCCTCAAAGGAGAGAACGCATGATGAAAAGAATTCCTTTACATGCCGTGTCATCGTTGACCTTGAGTTAGTGCTTCTCTCCCCAACTTCACTCTGTGAGAAACAAACTGCTCCTGCCTTATCTAACATTAACATGAAGCATATGGCTTGTGTCTGCAGAAGGAACAAGGCACCTCATTACTGTATGATCACGCACACACACACACACACACACACACACACACACACACACACATCCGCAATCAGTTTACATAAATTGCAACAACATACTAATATAATGTATCAAATAGGTAAATCAGTGACTAAGTCAATTACTTTAGTTTGTGTGTGATATAATAATCATTATAATTATATTGTAATTATTTTGTATATTCTGACAAAATAAGAAATTAATTGAATGTAGATTTTCCACTACAATGGCCTCAGGCACTTCAAATTGATATTTAATTTTGTTTCTTGTTTTGGTCATTTCTGTATTGAGGATTGCACACCATTTAGTTTAACATTAATGTTTTTTTTTTTTTGTTTTAACAAATGTACTCCACTGGGGTTTAGGTAATTTATCAGTGATGATACTTTGGGTTCTTTTATTCATTTCCAATTTTGTGCTGGTGCAACAAATTCAATATGGCCGCTGTTCTTTAAAGCCTCTGAGACGACTGAAAACACAGTCAGCCTCCTGCCATCTTTCCCAGACAGGCCTCCGTTGTCATAGCAACATGCAATGGCGCAGCACTTATTGGGATTCAGCTGGATGGCAAGTGACTGTATTAGTTGTTCGGGTTATTTGGTCCCCTCTCTCCCACAAACATCCTGCTCTCTCTGAGAACCTGCAATACGCAGCACTCTACAGAGAAATCGAGGTTTGCCTTTTTCTCTGCTTGACTATACTTGGTGTATGTGTATTTTTATATTTCTGTATCTGCAGCAGAAATGCTACTCAAAGGACTTTCATGTCTGATAACAGGAGTGATGTGCCATAGATTTTCCACTAATTTCTCATTTTATGCTGTCCACAGAAACAGTTTCTTTCATCTTCTTTTTTATCTTGCTTGGTATTTTACTTTACCACTTTCATTTTTCATAATTTGTGCCAATTGGTGTGGTTTCTTACCACCACATGCTAAGCGGAAATTTTGCATTTGTCATCAGTGCATATGATCTCGCCACACCCAACCCTACTTTACTTTCAAAGCCCATGTGAAATTATTTTTTACCTCTCAACCTGTAAATTAAAAATCCCCAAATACTAAACCACAAACCAAGAAAAGACAGTAAGTATACAGACAGTCTTGTCAAACAAAGAGCGAAATGTCAAAGCAAAAGCAACTTGACGCATCTCTGCAAAGCGTACTTCCGCAAAAAACAGGTTCTAAATTGAGGTAAACCATGCAAAACATACCTTAGTAAATCTGAGAAAATGATGCAGGGTGAACACGAAACTGTCATGCAGTATCCCTTTGCTACATCCCTCAGTTTGCCCAACTATTCATGGAAAAACAGTTTCATGAGAGCAAGGCGAAATAGTTTTTTTCCTGTGATGGTCGCTGAACAGTGGTGCTGTCAGAAGCAGAGCTTTTTCTGACGTCTTTCTTCCTCTCCCTCCCTCTCTGTGTGCAGATGATTCCAGCTCCAACGTCCTTCGCTTCTATCCATGCATCCCAGGTCCTGGGCTAGATCTGCCCTGCCCACCTCTGTCCTAATACAGTCTTAGGAATAACTCACAGTTTATACGGCATGTAGCTAAACCGGTGTGTGGGTCTGCCTTGTGCTAACTGGGCAACTGAAGCACTGCAGCCACTGAGCAGGAAACGACAACTTTTATTAAACATGGCAGAGGACTGTAGGGAGAGCGGAGAGATGCTGGGTGCTACATCACACACCAGCTCTGTACTCAGTGCTACAGCTAGAGAAAATGCTCAGCTGCATTGATGGTAGCAGCGTAGAGAGTGAGCTCCTCTGCATGTAATGCTGTATGAAATCTCCCCAGCACATAGCCAGCTAGAACCCAATGCATCTTGATGTTGACCAAAAAGGAAAATATCTTTTGTGTAAAATGAAGTAATCTGTAGCCCTTATAGAAACAGCATGCACCTTGAATGCATAAAGCTACACCATCTGTTTCATGCTTATACACACCAGAAGCAGTATATGGTACTGACGTGCCTTTGTCCATGCTTACACAGGCTGTCATCACAGTCACAAGACAGATGTTCTTCAATTCTTTTTCTCACTACT